CTTGAGTAGAAGGCCACTGAAATTATTTCCCTAGACAAAACACAGTGCCCTCCTGATAGAAACATTAGAGGCATAGGAAATGCGATTAAGTATTGTCTTTGCTATTTTTGCAAATCTAAAAAAATATAAACAAACTGCAAAACTCATCACCGCATTAACATTTGGCGTGGCTTCTGTGGCATAGCAAATGTAAGGAGAATCTAGAAACAGGTATCATTGGGGAGATAGGGCTTCTACGGGTGTGAATCTGAACTTGAAAAACCGCAAGGGGTACGATTCCTCATTCCATAACATTGCTGTGAGTTGGTTCCTCTATTTCCTCAAATTCAGGGTCCTAGATTTTGCCAACTCTTCTGCCAGCTATTTTCTGTGGATTCAGTATTTATGGGCCTAACAGCACAATAAAGATGCCCGTACCTTCCTTATCCCTTAGAATCCCTAAAGAGAAATGTTCTTTGTAACTCCTACATATTTCAGTGCTATTCCTACAAGACGCAGAACATATTTAACAGTAATAACACATATAGTGCTGGTGCTGTACTGGTAACCACACATCTGTTCAGAATAAAGTCTTCACATTTCAAGCCCACAGTTTGCTGAGAAGGTAACGTGATCGTATAACCATTCTTTACTGCTCCATTTACACAGTGATAACCCTGTAATGGAATACAGCTCCTCAGGTATTTTATCATGCAAGCCGTTTGGAAAATATACACAGTGTGCGTCTAATCTTTGAAAGCAAACCAATGTCAGCAACAGGCATTTAGACTTTTATCTAAAGTTACGTTACTGAATGATTTTTTTTTTTTAAATAGCTTTGAAGATAATGCGCATTTATTAATCCGGTAACACAAGCAGCCAAGTAGGAACCAAAAGATCAGGTGGACTTCAAATTTAGTATTTCCAGAATTTAGTTTAAGATGGTTTTGCCTTATTTTAATTATCATGCCTCCTGATTGTTTCATGAAAAAAATAATGCACTGGATTGAATCTGTAATATATTTATCAATTGGCAGAATAATCCATTCCTAAGATACTCTGTTTGAACTGTTTCTGCATGTATCTACCCAACAAAGTAGCCCTTTCTGCTATTATTCAAGTCCCATTATTCAAGAATACCAAAGCAAAAATGTAAGAGACCACACAAATAGATCTGTCTTCTTGAGTTTTACTGTTTGGGTACTACTGCATTCAGATCTATTATTTCTCATTGCAATTGTGTCTCAGAAACACTCAGCTTTAATTCTGAGCTTGATCACTTAGCCTGACTGGTTCCGCACAAACCTGGAGTAAAGAAAGCACCATTACTCCTCTTAATCTGCCTTTTCTCAGCTAATCTGTTGCTAGTCTTATACAGACAATGAAATAATTCACTTTCTTCCATTTTTATTCCTGTAAAACTCAGTTCAGTGGTGAATGGACGAGTGTATGACCTGTACGAGTGTAGCATCTAATGATTTCCATTTTGTAGATGTAGGCTTTAGTACTGCGAACACATACGCATGAAAGGTCTGTATAGTCCCGCTGAACTCAGGCAGTGGTATCAGAATTTTAAAGTTATCCACATAATTCTAATGCTGTAAACTTCAATGACTGGCCATTCTAGGATCCTAAAGCTAAGAAAATAACACTGTGCCCTTCAGGCTTCACAATTTCCCTGACCAAAGCTCCCTACACTTCTGCTACTTGCTGCGGGCTTAGCCCCCGGCCCCGCCGACGGCACCCAGCGCCCCTTGCCTTGCCCGTACCAGGCTCAGGAGTCTCTGCTCTGGTGCCGAGATCAACCTGTAAGGTAATTTCAAAGTCTGCCCTGATGTCTTCTCCTACTGGGAGCCCAGGCACCTCGATAAGGGGCACTAATTGCATTAATTGGCAGAGCTCCCAAAATTAAGGTGCTAGAGGACTGATTTTTAGGCTCATTGCATATATATCACCATACACTTAAACTGTAATAGTATATACACTACAGTATGGTAACCACTGAGTTTGTTAGTCATTTCTATAGAAATGCCTTTTTCCTCTTACGCATGGTGCACACACTGCCATGAGCATTCCAAGTGTTAGGCACTCTGCTATTCAGCAGGTCTTCTTCATAAAATTAATTTAAAACCAAACACATTTTCCTTTTTTTGAGATATTAAGGAAGCTCAGCTCAATTAGTATTGCCATTCCTCCTGAAAAATTTCTAACACAGAACAACGTGGGGTTTAGCCCTTTTGTGCATAGAGTATTCTGGGATGGGTCTAGGACATGGGCTGTGGTTTGTACTTGCAAATTCTCTGATTCTGCTTTATTTCTGCTGGTGACTAAATACTTTCCGCTGTAGGCTTTCTTCCTTTTCTCCATGCCAAGAGGGAAGAACGATGCAGTAGTTGGAAAAGAGAAAGGGATTGTCAGGTTATTTGCAACTGTAGCAAAAATTATTTTCAGCTGGAAAATCAAGAATACCTGTCCTTGTTAACACTGCTCACTAAAGAAAATTCAGAGACAAATTTGTGTTATCAAATAGTTCAATATGCTTAAATAATTTATGTTTTCTCACTTCCCCAATTACTGGACTGTTACAAGATTTTAGATTTCCCCAGTTCAATGGGCACATTTGTTTGGGCCATGTATTTCACATTTAATAAAGGGCCATAAATTAAACAGATTTAATTTAACAATGGAAATATGATATATATTATACTATTTAAAATTTCTTTGGTGTAACAAACTCACATCTCCATTAAGCTCCTCTGTATTTTAAGACACATTTACTTTATAACTATGATCTTGATTTACAAAAACTGAAGTTACAGTACAGCATGCTAAAGCTATATTTGGGTATTCCAAATGTGAACATAATAAAAATTAATTACTACAGCGTTTTGCATACACTGCTATTATTTTTAATAGATTGCACTATAGAAGAATTAGTGGGCAGGGTAGATAACCAAAATTAAAAGCATGTTATTAGAGATGAATGAATCTGATTTAGTGAAATACATTTTGACATAGCAGTTGTTTCCTGTCAGTTCCATGAGTTTTACTCAGGGGATATCACTTCTGGCCATAATCTACATGCTTCAAATGATAATCTGCTTTACACACAACTGTTTTTTATCTGAAATCATGCAAAGTTTGGTAAGAGCTATACTTCCAATTTTTCATAGTTTATGACATTTAATAGTGAATTTTAAGATTGTGTTTACGGAATGTCAAGCACTCAATAAGACAAAAAAATAGTATGTTTCGTTGCACAGTTAATACATGCTTGTAATGACCTAAGTAATGTCTGATCTTAATTAAATACTTATTTAAAAGGATATGGTCTCCATTTTTAGCATATTCATCCAGCCCCAACAAAATACCAAAGTAAACCAACAGTCAGCCTGAGTACCTGTGAATACCTTGTATAAAGGTACTCCCCAAAAGAAACATCAAGGATCTAGAAGCAAGGAGAGGTGTTGAAAACAGTTTTGAATTTAGAAACACCAGTTCTTAGCTTATAGGTGCATGCAACACGGACAGATCAGAAAGGATGAAGTGTGTCTCAGATTTGAGGTCAGCATATTAGGGCATTATCACTGAATAGCATTTATAGATGTATTCAAAGAGTAATGAAGTCACTGAATATAACAGGGGAAAGATTTATGCCACATACCAAGGAGGTTATTTCCTTCACTGGAACTCAAAATTTCAGTATTTGCAGACAGACAGTTACTGTTAGAGAGTTCTAAACAACATACTTTGAACAGTAATTTGTTACTGAAAGGTTAAAAGATATTTCTAGTTATCAGTAGGTTATCCTCAACAGCCCATTAGCATTGGACTAAAGCAGAAAGGAAATAATGCAAAGAAGCAAAATAGGTGAATGAAAGCTATATAATTTAGATTTTAAAATTATTCCCTTTTTCTTGTTCAAGCTATTATACGCGGCTCAAGCATACCCTTGTCATTCAAACTATTACAACAATAGAAGCTATTTAGTTTTAGATTTCAATCTTAAAATCTCACTTTATCCAAATCTATTAGATTCTGAGAAAGTCTTAATGAAACCTGAATGAGAATAGGAAGCTTTTTTTTTTCCAGCTGTCAAAATCAGATAAAATTTATTCAGAAAAAAATTAGAATAAAATGCCAGGGATACACTGTGGAAAGTTAATATATCACGTATTCAGAGGAAGTAGAGCGATTTTCCCCAATGAAAACCCATGCAAATACTCAGCTGAGAGAGGGAAATTGAAGGAAAAAGTACTTGCCCTTTACAAAGTCTGGCCCTTGACTAGTACTTCTGCTACGGCTTTTGCTGTTTTATTTAATCTTATACACACATGCATGAGGTACGGATAAGTGCAGGGAACTGAATATTAAACATGAATGCCTTTTAAGATCATAATTACATCACAGTCAGCTAATACGTGAAGATTACAATCAACTGCTTTCCCTTGTTTTGTACCAGTTTCAGAGAAAAGTATTTTTTTCAGTTCAACTAATACCTCGCTCCTGCAGAAATTTTCATTCTTTGTTCTCTTTGAAGAATTTGCACCTAACAATTCGAATTGACATAAATCCATAAACATAGCTTTGACACCATTTCACCTCAAAAGGAGAAAGAGATCTGAGTGCGAAGGGCCTATTTTAACCTTCACGGGTTTGGGAGGGTAAGATTTTCCCAAGCACTTGAGAGAACTGGATGTTTAGCTCATTTTGATGCTTTCTTAATTCCATTAACAGACTCCCTGATTATTAAGATTTCACAAAGGATGCATAAGACTGGCTGTTTTTTCCTAGTTCAGTATGGTACAGAATGGCAGATAATACTTTGCGATTAACAGTACAAGCAGACCTCCCTGTATTACCTCCTTTTTACGGCATTTACTTAAGTCATCACTATTTGGTATGTCCCTGCTTTTCAACGTTTGCAGCTGACTTGGACTTTATTTGCGGTTTGGGGTTTTTTTTTTTGTTGTTTTCTTGTTGTGTTTTTTGGTTTTTTGTTTTGTGTTTTTTTTTTTTAGTTGGATACACAATGAATGATCTCATTTTTGAATGGCAAGAAAAGGGAGCAGTTCAAGTAGCAGAAGGTCTCACTCTGCCACAGTTTCTGTTGAAAGAAGAAAAGGATTTATGTTACTGCACCAAGCATTACAATACAGGTAGGCAAGCATATTAGTGATTAAAACTGGAAAGACTTTTAACATTTATTGTTATTTTGGAGAGTTGTGGGGTTTTTTTAAATATTCTCACTGAACTCACAAGAAGATTAAAACTTAGAGGTGCATTGTGCGGGATAATGCAGTCTTAAATAACTGACACAACGAAACAAAACTACCTGAAGGCTGATCAAACTTCTATTTCAGTAAACTTAAGAAAATACATAGTTGAAATAATTCAGAAGCAATTGAGTCAGGAGTTTTATTTTTACAGCGGGTGTCACGACCACATCTACCCTGGGACACAGGGCAGCCAAGCCAGCTATCCCTGCCCTTGTTCATACAGCAAGGGCCCATGCAAACAAGCTGAAAGCATCTGTAGCGTACAATGGCCAGGTGTCCAAACTAGACATGGCCTTTCTGAGTTGAAGCCTTTGTAGAATGGTGATGTTCAGCTCATCATCTCCAGGATTATTTGAAAAAGGGAGGGTTTAACATTAATAATATAGTTATTTTAACTGTATAAAAATTATCTCAATAACTGGAAAATTGCAAGCATAATAATCCTCAAAAAACATGTAGCAAAGGCTAAGAATGCATAACCATCTTCTCATGGGGAAAAAAGCTAGAACTCTTTCATTCTAAACCATATCTTTTTAATTTCTGCTCTCCAGTATGATTCTAGATTAAACACATCTTGAAATTTAAGATTAGAATGATTCATTTGGATTCTGCCGAAATGGCAGAGGGAAGAAAATTAAAATAGGTGGCGTTCATAAGGGATGTTCTGTTGCAATCAAAATTAAGGAAGAGTGCTTTTCAACACTGAGTTTTATCACAGCTGCCATGGTGCCCTAAGGGAGGGAAAGGTTCTCTAATAATTTCCATTTAGAGGGAGGAGATATTGATGGAGACATTTTGAAGTCTTCCCTAAAATAAACTGGAAATACATAACATGCACTTTTACTGTACAAATACTAATATCTGGCTAATCCTTAAAAACCTTCCCAAAAATGGAGATATATATCCTATAGCAGGGTAATTTTTTCACTCAAACATCCCTTTGTTAATGGTAACAATGAAATTCGTATTATTCCTCTCTTCTTTTACCCTAATCCTTATGACAAAGAAGAAAATCTTATTTTCATTATTTTTCTCTGTCTCCTTTGAGACAGAGGCAATCTCTTCTTCCTTTTTAGAACTCTCCCGCTTTTGTGCCATTTTAACATGTGCCTGTAACTGTACTTCTATAACCTGTTTGGTATAGTGTCATTAACAAGTAAGAGTTTGTGGTAGAAAGTATTCTCCTCATTTTTCCAAAGTTCATTTGGACAATATGATGTATCAAAAATTTCTAATTAAGGAATTAAAACATTGCTGTGGTACTTAATTTGATATTGAATGGAAGCCTGTTTTAAGGTGTCAGAATTTGTGGTGATTTCTAAACATCTCTCCCAACATCTCATCCAAAGCTGAATTGTACTCTTACTCATTTGTGTCAGAATTTTCACTACAATCATCATAGTTTAGACCTTTTGATTTTGACTGAAACTTCATTTTTTCAGTATTTTTGAGCCACTACCTTTTTCTTCATTACCTATGTTTCAAGCCTATTTAAGTTGGTATTCATTTTCTTCCAAGCAGAAATAGAAAAACATGCTAGGCCTAGGCATAACACACTAGGTTGCATGGGGTCAACTTTGTGTCTACTGTCTTTTTCCCTGTGGCCCTGAACTGAGCTGAGAAGCAGAAGCAACAGATGTTATTAACTGCACGTGAGGTCTCACGACTCTCAAAATGTGCCTACAAGACAAGCACGGTGATCCCCGTGAACTGTCGTCGCATTTAGGCGGAGAAGGGGTTTATTGTTCTAACTAGAAGACAGCATGGTCAATGATTAGTCTGTTATATTTCTGTATTGCTTTGGTCAAACTGCATTTCTGTGGCCAAACAGGTGCTATAAACATGTGAGTGCAGCCCACAACTCTGAAAAAAAAAAAAAAAAAGGCTGAAGTCTGGGCCTCTACTAAAAAAAAAAAAAAAATAAAAAAAATAAATTGGGCTGTTTAATTTGTCCATAAAAAGTCAAGCCATTTACTAACACAGAAAACTTGGGAGCCTGGATGCAGGCATCCACCGTACACTTTAGGATGGAGACTTTAAAAGACCTCAGCAAACGAGAGGACAATTGCGCAGCTGTGGGACCTGCCTGTGACGGGCAGGGGGAAAAACGCCCTGCTGAAGGGCACCGGCTATGGGCAGAAAGGTATGTCTTCACCAGAGCCATCTGCACTGGGGTACAGCACCAAAATTACAGGTACACATCTACAACAATCTTGGCATGGCAAGCCAGACAGAAAAAATAGCCTTACTCCTGTAGGACTACATTTATTGTCACATTCTCCTCTTCAGTATAACAGTGTTTTCTCCAGAGTATTTATTTTTTTTTATTCAGGTCTTCAGTATGAAGTTAATGTAATCAAATTGGAGAAGTTTGGTTTGGTTTGGTTTCTAGGAGGGTGGGAGTGCCTTTTATTTCTCTGTTACAACCAGTACTATTAACTACCATGTGTAGGCTACAAAACCGCTAAACACTATACTAAAAGACAACAACTAGAGTTTCTTTTCCTCCATTATATCACTTGGATATGTGACCAGTAATGTGCTTTCTTAAGGCTCCTGCAGTGAGATACTGTAGACAGATACCCTTTTAGGATACTCCACAAGAAGCAAACAACAACAACAAAAAAAAAAACCCACCACATTTTTCAAAATGAGAAATGAAGCCTATTTTCCTGGCCTAGAACAGATGAGATAAAATGAATTCTTAAAAGAATCCTAAGCAACTGCAGATGGTACGCAATAAGTGACCAAAGAAGAGTTTTCAATTTAAGCTTAGTTACAACACAGGATGGAAAGCACTTCTGAGACATCCCATAAAACAGGAAAAAAAAAAAATAAAAAATTCTCCCTGTGAAACAAATTAACATGAAGCTTCAGGACGGTATGTGGCGACTCATCAGTGTTTCATGCCCAATTGAAAATGGATCACTGTAACCACAGCTTGAAAAATAGACTGCTTCTAAATATAGGGATATAACAGTTTCAGCAACAGGCCAGCATAATGGCTCATCAAGTCTTGCGTTCTGAAGGGACACAACAACATTGCTCATCATTTTCATGTTTTGCATCCACTGGCATATCCGCAGTGACAGATTTGGGAAGTGAAGTAGCATCATAACCAGAAAAATCACAACATGTGAACCATCCACATTACAGGACTGGTCTTGCTTTACCGCACCCTCATTCACTTCCTATGTGACATGCATTGCTTCCCTGGGCTTTTATGCAACACCCAATTTTAATTTCAATCACAGGAAATTTCAATCATGGCTGCAAAAAGCCCAACACAATAGCATGAATTTATGCATACTAGCATTGGCTAACAGGCACAAACGGAAATACTCTGAATCTCGGCTTTATTCCTGCACCATGGATAACGCAGTACACCTGCACTTGAAGGGTGCTGCTCAGAACTGTCTTATGTTTATTGATAGGTTTTGGCTCAAAGTGTTGGATGTAGCGGCCCTGGAAACAGCGGAGCTAGGGTTCCTACACTGACCAAACTGATGGGTTCTGTATGTGACCATTCCTGATAACTCTGTATCCCTAAATCCGCAATCTCGATGAACAGCCGGCTTCCTTAACTCCACATTCCCCATCTGACCTCCTAATACATACCTCCCAAACACAATCTTTTCTCGTGATCCTTTTGGTTGCCCCTTAAGGTCAAAAAAGTTGCTTAACAACCTGCAGACTGTGCCCTTCTAGGTCCTACCTTCAGCTGACTTAACGCCTTATAACTGGGCCATTTTGCTGCCAATGCAATGGCGAATAAAGGAGACGTAGCTTCGATGCTTGACTCTACCAACAAGAACTGCAACTCCTACTTATTTTGACAAACACCTAGACCACTCTGTTTGAGAGTATAGCAGTGATTTTTAAGCCATGGCTTTTTAACCCCTCGGGGTTTGTTCATAGACCACTTCTCAGAAAAGGAAGTTTGTACTTTTTATCCAGGAAGTATTCTATGGGTGTGAAATCTCTGAAGCTGCTCATTCCTTCACTGAAAAAGGAGACATTATAAACACTTTGAAAAACAAACAGGGGCTATGACAGGCTGAGGACGTGACCATCCCTAGACACAGAAAACAACAATGCCCAACTCCAACAGGGTGTTTTTCTCTGCAAGAGAAGAGACCTCAATTGTCACCCCGGCACGGACCAAAATTTAAACATTCTGCCTTAAAGATTCATTGAATGAAAATTCATCAGCTCTCCCAGAAGTAGAGACATTACATCCTATTTATGTTGCTATCAGATTCTCCTTCATTTCCACATCTCCCCTCTCTGCCCCTGCTAACACAGTGCAGCAGTGACTAGTCTGTCGCATCACAAGACTTCTGTTCAATTCCATACCTGTTCTGGTGACTTCTGTTCAGCTCGAGATCTGCCAGGCTCCCAGGCCTTTCCTGTAGAACTGCCACCTACACAGTCCATCCCCAAGCCTGTACCAGTGCACGGGGTCACCCCGTCCTCATCGCAGAACTGAGCGCTGGTCTTTGCTGACCGCCACGATGCTGCAGTGGGTCCTCTGGCTGAGGGAGATCCCTCCGAATGGCAGCTTGGTCCATTCTGAGAGAGGTGGGATCACAAGCGCAAATTCCTCAAGCTGGAAAAAAAAAATCAGTTGCTCTTTCCCGCATCTATTTTCAACTTCCTTTTACTGCAGGCGTATCAGTCTCACATCACTGTTAAGTTTACCCTCTGCCCCCGCATTTGTTTCCAAACAAGCTCTGTCCAGTCACTTCCTTCCCAACTGAGAGCTTAGGTAGTCAATGGCAGGTGACAGTGCCAGCACTGCTGTCCCCCAGTATGTCACTGATCTCCGCAAGCTGTGACTAGAAAGAAAAACTGAATGGTGGTACATTCCTTCAGTTGTT